TATGTTTACTTACGTTTTATGAACTTCTTAAAGTATCAAAGTTGGCTGAATGGACTCTCAGTGGAGGAACAAAGATTAAGAAATCATTTGTATTTCACTTATGTTTCAAAGATTGTACACAATTAAATGCTTATTTGTCGTTTAGCATTTGCAATAACATTTCTTTGTGTTGTTGTTTTTACTATTGAAAGAACTGAAGTGGAAAGTTAACTTTTGAAAGCCAACCTTTAGTTCACATCACAACCTGAAAAAAGAAGGAAAAAAGGGGAAAAAAACTTTGCTACTTTCAATTGCATGTCCTACAATGTGATTTTCTGGATTTTTTTTCTCATTTTGTCTCTCGTAGTTGAGGTATACCTATGATGAAAATTACAGGCCTCTTTCATCTTTTTAAGTGGGAGAACTTGCACAATTGGTGGCTGACTAAATACTTTTTTTCCCCCACTGTAAATGGAATTAGCAGGTAATGCCTGACCATTTTCTTGGATAAAAATGTGTGCTTGCCCCTGAAAACAAGATAAATGCATTATTATGGTTTAGTCTGTTTTCCAAGAAGAAAAATATATAAAATTGTACTTGCTTTTAGGAATACTCTAGCCTTTAGATGACCTTAAAACTAACAGACCTGGAAGAAAAGTCGCAAAACTCCCATTTTGATTTCAGAGGGCTTTAAAACAACAATTACTTGACTTTTACGTCTTCAAGTTCCTGGTCTGTTATTAGTCTTCTAAATCAGACAGTCCTTGAACCGTATATGTTGGTATGCTGTCTAGTGCACACAAAATTGGCAAGCACATTCTCAAAACTGCAACCTACAATCTGATTGATTGGCTTTACTCAATATCCAGAAGTGCTTCAGGGTGCACAGGTTTTTATCAGTAAACCAGGAAAGGTTGTGTTTACAAGATCTGAGAAGCTAGAACTCACTAGAATGAGTGCTTCTGAGAAAGACCTAGAAGGTAGATTTGGAAAAGTTTGTCATATTTTAACACGTTTACATGCACAATCTCACACTGATTATGTTGTATAGAGTTGACAGTTTTAAAATAAAATAAAATATTGTTTTACACATCACTTGGATAATCTCTTTCTTTCCATCTGCGACGTGGACTACACTTTATGCTCAAGAGTGGCTACACAAGACTAGACCATATCAGGCATCAGTCATTTTAGTCAACAGGTACCAGTATATTAAAGTGGGAGCAAATCAAGTGAAGTAAACATCTGAAAACTGCAATCATGCAGCAAAGCACTCGACGTCAAGCTCTCATTATTTTGACTGTTTTGAGTTTTTCTGAACTTTGTGGTGTTTACCACTTAAAGAATCCCTCATGATGACTACAAACCCACATTTATTCAGTTTGATGGCAGCCGAGACAGATGAGGAACTTAAAAATGTCTAAACTCTCTCTCTCCCTCACCGTGCAGAGTTTGACAGTGGTTTAAAAGAGTCGGAGAGAGTCAAAGACAGACAGGGTGGGAGAGAAAAATATTCATACTTTCCCCACACTCCAGAGCGCATCTCCCAAAACTCATCTCACTCAAAAAGCGCTTTAGTCTGAAATATGTCAACGTCTGGACGCAGCGCACACTGTCAGGCTGACTAAGCTCGGTTTAATCCACTGGGCAGAGCTGGAATTGGACTGGGGACTGACTGGAGTGCTGGGCGCAGTCAAACTGAACAATGAGATACTGCCGACCTGTCAACGGTGTCTTCTTCTACAACCTCCGAACAGGCACTCCACGACTCTCTCAATGTGTGACTCGAACTTTCGTGTGTGTGGACACAATCTTGTTGTCTTAGTAGCAAGGCCTCAACTGTGTACAGAACTTCAGACTGACATACAAGCAAGCCAAAAACACTTGGAAGGAAAGTGCTGAAGTTTTGGAGAGATTGCCTAAAAACCTAGTGAGCCGCCTACTCAAAGAACTTTATTTGCACTTCTGATGTGAAGGTCATCTCAAAACTGTAGTTAGCAAGATTATGCTACCATCTAAAATCAGGGCTCAGCCTTAAAGATTTTTTTTTTCCGTTGGCTCATTTGGGAGACGATAATGCAGCTTTGTACTGCCAACATTTCTATGGCACTATAAAAACTAAATTTTATTAATGTGTGATAGAAAGAAATACTTTCTATTAAACATTAGATTGATTTAATTATTTTAATAAGGTAAAAAAAAATGTTAGACCAAATTAAGAGTTCCTGCTCTTTCTGACCAATAAGTTTCCATTATTTTATAACTAACATTTTTTTATTATTATTATTTAAAGAATAGTTTGTAGTCAAAGAAAAAAACTTGAGAACTGAGAATAAATTGGAAAAAATAAACAAATAAACAGATAACTTTCTATGGCATTCCCATGACTTTTTAAACGTTTAATTTCACTTTCTTCATACACAATTTTTGTTCTTTTTCATACTATAAAATTATAAACTGGAAAACAATGGTATAGAATGATTTGTTGGTAATTTATCACACTTGAACTTATAACAAATCATTCTTGAAATTTTAATTCTTAATCCATTTAAACCAGATAAAATTGCAACAACAATCCATCAGAGAAACAACTTATGCATAAGTTTCTAAATAAAAACACAAGAAAATGGTAAACAAATAAGATGCATTGACAGTTACTGTACCTCAACAGGCCAAACTTATTGTTGAGCCATGAAGATACTTAATTTTGGCCAAAATCCTAAGCATATCTATCGTAAATGGCCAAAAAAAGGCTATCAAGTTATATAGCTCACTAGGTTTTGAGACACATTCCCAGTTTTGGGGGACTTCGAAGAAACAACAAGTGAGAGGATCGTCAAAATTCCTCTACAAAAAACATATGCTAAAAGGGAAGGTGAGAATAATGAAAAGTGCAAAAGCGCTGATTCAGATTGGTATTTTCCAGGACGGTGGGCTGTATGAATATTAACTGTCAGAACAAGCAGGAATATCGATCCACCTTCTGCAGGGTTCAGTAGAGCCGGCTCAAGGTTGGACAGGAGTGACAGAATTCAGAGGAGAGATCATTGGTCTGTGAGAATGTGTCAAGAGCATGTGGGTGTTTGTCGGTGAGTCAATCTACATCGAATCTCTGCCATCTTGGAGGCACTGTACCTTATCTGACGAATGGAAAAGTCGTAACCTCTCTGAGATGAACTCATTTCTCAGAATAAGGTGAAGAGTACTAAGAAAACACAATTTGACACAATTGTCTGTGTGGATGCATTGATATCTCACCAAACTCATAATATTAGCTCAGCATTTCGATGTCAGTGTTTATCAGCTCGATCTGTGACGTGAGTTGTCTTGGGTGTGTTACACCAGGGACTACATGTTTGGACAATTTATTTTCCACATTGATTCTGTTTTGACTTGACACATGATGATGGATCCATGCACCACTCTGGACTATATTGACTGATGCCTTACTGTCATGCTTTGCCTGTAGCATGTACAATGCTGTGATTAAAAATGCAGTGTTTGGTTCACGTCAAACAAACTGTAACTGGGCACATGTCATGTCATTGTCTGTCCATAACATGATCTAGTCTGTCCCGGAGGATAATCCAGGTGCTTCTTAAGGGCAATGCTCAAAATCAAATTCAAGCAGATGTTTTCGCAGCACTGTATATTGTCTGTGCCGTCTACACTACCGTTCAAAGTACCGTTTTTCTTCTTCTTTTTTTAATACTTTTTTTCAGAAAGGATGCATTCAATTTATTAAAAGTAAATAACTTTTATAATGTTACAAAATATTTATATTTCCAATAAATGCTGCTCTTTTGAGCTTTACATACATCAAGAATTCTGAGGGGGAAAACACTTAACAGTTTTCACAAAAATATTAAGCACAACTGTTTTTAACATTGATAATAATAAGAGATGTTTCTTGAGCAGCAAATCAGCATATTAGAATGATGCTAAATATTAGAATGATTGGAGAAATGGCTGCTGAAAATTCAGCTTTGCCATCACAGGAATAAATTACACTTTAAAATATATTAATACAGAAAACAGTTACTTTAAATTGTAATAATATTTAATATTACTGTTTTACTGTATTTTTAATCAAATAAATGCGGCCTTGGTGAGCATAATTGACTTCTTTCAAAAACATTACAAATATCTCACAACCCCAAATTTTTTAATGTAGTCAGGTAGTTTTATGTTTATGCTTTGTAAACTGACTGAAGCACTGTCTAAAAGTGTAATAAAAATTTAACATTGCAGGTAACCTGGTGGAGTCAGTGTACATTATTTTAATTACTGTAATCTAATTATAATGTCAAAAATCTTAAAAAAAAAAGATAGAATCAGTTCTGAACGTTGCTGTACATTCTTAAATGAATAAGCACTATTAATAATGATAAATAACATCAGTCAATCTTTAGTAACATTGGAGGAACCTACTTAAGACACAGTACTAGAACAGCGGCTGACCACACAAATTCACTCCCTCATGTGGCGCAGTAAATCTCCCTTACACGTTTGCTACTGTTTCATTCAAGATTAGCATATTTATGATGTTGCGATGTACTGAATCGTGAAGTGTATCATATCATGAAGTAGTTGGCTATACCCAGCCCTAGAGTTAAGAATATATGATTGTGTAATTTAGGTCTCAATGTTTTATAGCATGTGTGTGTTACAGTATGTCACATATAACAGAACACACAGCATATGAACCTTATGAAGTCTGAAATGAAAGTTCACTACCGTGACGCGCCTTTTGACACAAAAATGAACGCATATATTTAAAATGTGTATGCAAATATCTGCTATCACACTCAAACACTCCCACATGGGTTTCAGTTTGTGAATATGTATAAAGAAGCTTGATACATCCAGCCCACATATCGGCACACACAGACAGTTTGTGTGGCAAGAGAGCAACCTGAAGAACAAAAAGCACAGGCTCACAGACTCAGCCATAAATCTTTGTTGTGTGTGTTGATAATACACTAAATACGTGTCATATAGTGTGTGTGTTGTTGACTCACCAGCTGCCACCGCCGAGCACATGACAAAGAACATGCCCACAGCGATTCTCTTTAGAGGGGAGGGCAGCAGGCCTTTGCGTTTGAGGATGGGGTCCACCACTTTATCCTTGAGGGGGATCAACATGAGAATCAACACGGCGTCAAACATGGTCAGCCAAGCTGCTGGGAAGCGGAAGGTATTCTGGGAACAACAGGGGAATACAAGTCATGTTTACAAAACACTAGAGGATGAACAAACAGGAAGCAGGCTATGTGCAGGTCACTCAAAATACTCAGGTGCTTCATTCTTCTCCATTTGTCCTCCATTGAGAAAGTAAGTGCAAGTCTAAATGTGAATTCTGGGAGAGCACAAAGGATAGAGCAGGAAACTGAATCATTCCAGCAACCTTAGCGCCCTCATGTGGCCAGTGCTGGTCAATGGATGTGAATCTCATCCAGTAAGAGAGAGGGACAGGTCTCTTAACAGCCCATGCAATCATTATTCACTTGTTAAGCACTTTAATATCACATGGGGATTGCATAGCATGTGTCAGAGCACCTGTTTCATAATGAATGGCTGATTGCTCCATTCACGTGCCACTGATGTGTGATGGAAAACCGAGCAGACAGGGAAAAAAGTGCATCACCTATAGTAGGGCAATAGGAAATAATGACAGAACTTAGGAATGTATGAAAAGAAAAAAGAAATGAGCATTTGAATTAATAAGAAACTGGGTTTTTTACATTTCTCAAAAAAAGAAAAAGGAAATGAGTAGGGTTTGCCAATGGAACATGGGGATAGTTCACCCAAAAATGTCTTGTCATTAATTAGTTACTCACTCTCATGTCGCTCCAAATCTGTAAGACCTTCATTTATCTTCGGGACACAAATTAAGATATTTTTCTGACCCTGCATAGACAGCAATGCAACTGAAACGTTCCCAGGCCAAAAAAGGTAGTTAAGGACATTGTTAAAATAGTCCATGTGACAAGTGCTTCAACTGTAATTTTATGAAGCTACTTAAGCAGTCCTTACTACCTTTTTTTGGGCCTGGGAACGTTTCAATTGCATTGCTGTCTATGCATAGATCAGATTTAATCAAAAATATCTTAATTTGTGTTCCGAAGATAAACGAAGGTCTTATGGGTTTGGAACAACATGACAGTAATTAATGACAGAATTTTCATCCCTTTAAGACTATTTTGGAATAGAGATCGATTTGGAAATTTAAGATTTTGACACAGAAAAAATTATTTGCTTTCATAAGGAACTCTTTTTATAATTCTGAGAAGGGTTTGCCTATGTAAAACTTGCTGCCACTCGAGTTGTTGGCAGGAGGTTGCTAAGTGGTTGCTTATGTGTTCAGTGTCACTTTAAGCACTTTGCTTTGTGGTTTCTAAAGGCTTTTTTTTGTGTATCACTATAGGTGCATTCCATTCGACCGTAAGTGCCCTACAAAGTGGATTTTTTGCCAAATTCCAATCTGAAGGGAGCGTACATGTTTCGTTTGAAGGGCACTGCGAACAACACAGGGAAAAAAAGGAACAACAATAAATCACTTCACAGGAAGTGGAAAGGGAAATTACCCACCAGTCCTTGCACATCAACCTAGTATTTACAGAAGTTTGAATAAAATAAAGCCAGTGAAACAGAGTTTAATTAGTCCCAGGTGTTGTTTGTATGTGTTCTTTGCGGATATAAAGTGTGTGAAGTGGAACAGTTACAATGCAACATGCATCATGATTATGGTTAAATAAGAGAAATTACACATTTAATATAAGTCAATTACGTTAATTTTCATATTAAACATCAGACGATTATCACTTGGTTTAGCACTTTAAAATAAGACATTTATAGCCCTAAATGAATAATACATTCATATTTATATAAGTACACCTACATTCTACAAGTATATTAATTTAAAACTAGTACATTATGCCATCTAGCTCAAACTCCTCTAATATACATGACTCAAGGGTTGTTTATGTTTGATAACTTTGCAGGGTGTTCCAAATTAACACATTTTGCCAAGTGAACTTCAACAGATATCCCGTATGGACACTGTCAATCGGAACGCAGCCTGTTGCTGTGGTGTTCTGGGTGGATGTCAGGGGGTTGCTATGAAGTTGCTTTCTGAACGTTTTTGCTTATGGGCCCAAGCCCAAAAAAGCCCACACGCACAAGTCTCTTTGATATTCTGGTCTCTAGAACGGAGTCACTCTTAAAAATTTATTTTTCTTTCTTGTACATTAAGTCTGATTACTTAAAAGCAATAAAATGTGAGGTATAATTCCTATCCAGGGTGCATATACAGCACATAGCAGGTGCGACACAAACGTGTGGTTAAATGACTAATTTTAACTCTGATTATCAGTATTTTCACTTTGGCCGCTCCAGGAAATCATCTGTCCTCATTTCCTGCACAGACAGGGTGTGATGATCTGAATGAGCAGATTTAGTTAGATGCTGCTGTATGCATGCAGCAAAAGTTAAAATCTGCCCAATCCATTCTTGTCTTGATCTGATTGGTTGTAATTAATTCAAACACCCTGTACAATACTTCACCATCTGTACGTTTTAATTGACGTTAATCAAACAACGCCAGAGGACTGGATGCCCGGAGCTCAAAAAGAGGTTTATTATGCATCCATGCCTGCAGGTGTGCATGGGCGCATCACACACACATTTACACCTCCAGTAGAGTATTATTCGGTTAAGTGGAGAGCGTGTCTCAGTGAGCATGTTTGAATTTAATTCTACAGCTTCAGCCAGTCCCAAATCTACTGGTGCTTTTAACACTTTTAATTCTCTAGCTTACTCCCTCATTACATTTACATTTCTTTGACTAAGCACTGGTAATTTATACATGTCCCTCCGAGCGCTCTGTCTCCCCTTCATCATCATGCACTTTTAAATACTTTTTTCTCCATTTGAAATTGCCAGTTTGCATCATTCTATCATCATATAATTTTCACCCACATTACCACTCGTGTCTGTTTCTCTCTATGGGTATCTCCTAATTAAGAGCTCATAGTTTGGCCTTGTTAAGACTTCGCACTGGATTCCCTTTAGGCTGTGCGGTCCACCGAGACAAATCTACAGCAGCACATGTTAATTTAGAAGGGGAAGCCCTTGTGTTTGTGAGAACAAGCGACAGATGGGGATTTGCACACTTGAGCATGCACTCCAGAGAAACACCATTAAACCCACGATAGAATGTCAAATGACTTGATTTCTATTGAAACAGGAAGCTGGGAAAGGACCTCTATTTCTGACTCATCTATATATATATTTTTTTTTTCTCTGAATATTTTTAGCAAAATCAAGGCAGAAGGCAAATATCTGTGTGTGCTGGGGGGTTTTTTTCTTTTAGCAGCTTAACATACTTAACATACAACAACATAACAATTACAGTATGGTTGAAAAGCAGGGGTAACTTCTTTTGTTTTTGTTTTTTTGCATTACAGTTTTTCTGAATTGCTAAGACACATTTTTTGAAACCATCACTCATTTCCACAAAACCTTAAACACAAATCCAAACACTCAAACTAAATTCACGAAACCTCTGACTCTTCTATCAAAATCAAACAATCACTGCAAAACCATTTCACCTGTACTCAAAATGAAACGGTGCTCTCAAATCACACACACACACACACACACACACACACGAGTCAATAAAATAAACACTACAGAGCATTCATTAGACACTACAGAGAAAAATGGAGAAGACTACATCCAGAACATTACAGAAAAAAGTATATTGTATTGAGTAAACAATTTTGCAATTTTGTAAAAAAAGTATAGTAATTGCAACTGAGTAAGGTGAATATATTGCATAGGCCTACTGTATGTACTGCAAAAATAGTATTGTGCTGAATATTGAATAGTACTGAATGTTTGTATATATTTAGCACTTGGATACTGCAAAAATAATGCAGTCCAACTGCAAAGGCCAAAAACGTCAAATAAAACTTTAAATGAATAGCATGTAACAGTACACTCAAATACTGTAAGCTGTGCAATTGTAAAATCAGGGTCAATGAGAGATTCATTCTGTCTCAGCATCATGTCTTTGTGCTTGAGTCCGGCCTGAGGACTTTGTTCACATCACAAGTAATGTTGTCTTTTTTGCTAGACAATGAGAAAAATCCCCCTGGTCTGACAGATCCAGCCTTGATAAAACCCTCTAAACCTTACTCTTTCTCTCCTCATCCTCTACTTCTTACATGTACTCTTCTTCAGATTGTTTCCATCTATTGTTCGTATCATCATTCAGTCACCTGTGCCACTTGTGCACTCTGAACTAGCTCATATTTGTACAGTTGGTTTGATCACATCATCAGAAACAAGTGTGAACAATTTTGAATCGTTGTGTGTAAATGATGACAACTGTGTTTTAGTTGTGTTTAAGGCTCTAGGCTCATTTTTCAACTCCCCTAGGAGTTAAACAGTTTAGTTTTACCGTTTTCGAATCCATTCAGCCGATCTCCGAGTCTGGCGGTAGCACTTTTAGCTGTAGCTTAGCATAGATCATTGAATCTGATTAGACCGTTAGCATCTCGCTCAAAAATGACCAAAGAGTTTTTATATTTTTCCTATTTAAAACTTGACTCTTCTGTAGTTACATCGTGTACTAAGACCGACGTAAAATGAAAAGTTGCGATTTTCTAGGCCGATATGGCTAGGAACTGTACTCTCATTCCGGCGTAATAACCAAGGATCTTTGCTGCCGTACCATAGGTGCAGCAGGCGCAATGATATTACGCAGCACCTGAAAATAGGCTTATTGGAAGTTACCTAGCTGGGGACCATTTTCAGGCGCTGCGTAATATCATTGCGCCTGCTGCTGCATAGATTCAATGATCTATGCTACAGCTAAAAGTGCTACCGCCAGACCCAGAGATCGGCTGAATGGGTTCGAAAACGGTATAACTCAACTGTTTAACTCTAGGGGAGTTGGAAAATGAGCCTATTTTCAAAAATAGTGGATTGTTCCTTTAACTTTTGCCGCTTGTGTTTAGCATTTTACAGCACAAATGCATCACAGTGTGATAAGTGTTTAAGTGAATGAGAATGTGTTTAGAGTAGTGCTGGGCGGTATACCGGTTCATACCGAATACTGGTGTTTATTTTTGTTATGATATGAATTTTTTAAATACCGCAATACCGGTGTATGTCGCTTAAACAACGTTCGGAACGCAACACTGTTTGAAGGGGGTCCCTTTTCACTGTTGGACTGTGGTGAGGGAACTAAGCGTATGGTAGTTTGTCTGTTAATATCACATGCACTTTTTTGTTTGTTGTTTTTTTTAGGTTGTTACTCAGATGCAGGCAGTGCGCTGCATGAGTAATATAAAAAAGTAATATAGCTAAAACAACCGTTTAGCCGCTCTTTAGTGTAGATTCATGTTGATTTTATCAGACGATGCCGCGATTATAAATGAGAGTGACTCCTGGTTAACATGTATTAAAAGGGGTCATGTTTAGTCACTATTTAGTGTGGTATTTTTTGACAATATTCACTCATCATGACAGTAAAATAGGGCATTCTAAGTCAATATACTGCAGTATTTCCTCTCTCAATCAGTAGAAAATATGGTTAACACCTGGTCATGCATGAAAAAAAAAATACCGTCATGTACCGTGAAACCGGTATAATTTTGAAAAATACCGTGATATACATTTTTGGTCATACCGCCCAGCACTAAGTTTAGAGTTTTGCAAAAATACTGCATGAGATCTGCAAATAGAGCCTAACTGCCTGAACGTGTTTAAGGTTTAGCAGAAAGAGAGCTTTATTCGACAAACTGGTTTAAGCTAGTGAGAATTTGGTTCAGAGATTGGGGTTTAGCATTTTAGCAATTCAGAAAATTTGTAAATGGATCAAAAGTGACAGTATATTACTAAACATTTCTTAGTTATATTAAAGCTGTTTCTATTCATCAAACATTCATCAAAAAAAAAAAACATTATTATGGTTTTCAAACAACATAAAAAAATTGTAAATTGAGCTTTGCTATCACAGGGAAAAAAATATATAAATTGTGAACATTATAAAAATATTGCAACAATAATTAATAATTAAAATGTTGCAATTGCAATATTTTTTCACAATATTGCTGTTTTAAAGCATTTTTGATCAAATAAATGCAGCCTTGGTAAACATAAAACTATTCTTTCAAATAAATAAATATTATATGTGGCAACACGTTTTGCACAGGCAAGCAGCACTCATATTTTCTTCAAAACAAGTGTTGTTGTATAGGCTAGTTACAGAAAAAACTGTGCCCAACATGTTTGTTTTTGTTGTAACAAAAGTGTCTTTCACTTCTTCTCTTCTAAACCAAAGAGAAATGCTTCTCCTTTGATTAATAATTTAGTGGCGGGCAAAAAGCTTGAAGATGCTGGACTGTGTTTATTCATTCATCACAGAAAAAGTCATAGCCTACACATTCTGACCATCTGACCTGTCAAGACAAGCTTATCCATCTATAAGAAGTAATCTAAAATAAACACGCTTTCACATCATGTCATATTTTTTAATGTTAGCAGAAAATGGCACAACCACTATAAAAGTACTCTGGAAAATTACATTTAAAGAGCATGAGGTGCTCTTCAATCGTCTCTTCAATATGACCCTGCAATTACATTCTCAAGCGCTGTTATTTAACACAGTCAATTACATCTTTTTCACTTCCCCATTGTTGTTTCGCACTTCCTCTGTCCTTACCATGTGACTTTGAATCTAATTCTGGAAAACTCCATTTCAGACAGCCGTGAAATGGCACGTACACACACAAATGCACAAGTTGTTCATCCAGTTACATTTGTGTCCATGCATTTTCATGGTCATAGAGCAACATGTGACTGCATTGTTATTGCCGATCAGACAGCCCCGGAGTCGTGATTTTGGATTAGTCACTGTGAAACGGTTTTGAGGGGATTTAATTCAAAGCGAGGGTTCTGACACACTTACCTAGTAGAGCGTATACATGTACACCCACATGCACACTCGCACAAAAACAAATAAACAGCAAGTTCAGATGAGAATGCGGGCGCTGGGTGCTAATCTGCGATTAGAGGTTCATGGTTTTGAAGTTAATACCCTGGTTTTCAAAGGATTTCTCTAGTTCATGCGTGCCAGAGTCTCCAGAGAGTATCCTAAACGGCCTCTACTCTACAGCCAGACAAAACATCACAAGCACCTGGCATCACCACAGGCATCCTGTTTGCTCTAAAATGAAACCTGAGAACCTTATTTTACACTGTTGCATTTAGCGTTCACTTATCTTATTCAAGGTTTGACATGAGAAACCAAATTTCCCTTGATCTTTTGATGTAGAAGAGGTCTTTGTATGCTTAATACATCCAGCAGGTTTATAACTTAAAATGTCCTCATCATCAGTAAAAAAAGCATTTAAGTAATAACACTCAGAAAATGGCTCGTTTTGGATCTGAGGTGCCAGGTGATGTCACACGGGCACAGTCGTTTGCCTAAACACTGCCTCCAGAGCAAGACATCGACACAGGCCCCACCCACTGGCGTTCAGTCGTCTTTGAAAATCGTGCAGTGCGAACTCGGCATAAATGATTTCATAATGTTTTATTTTGATCATGTTGTCAAAACACTCACATGCAATAGTGAGGGGGCAGGGCAATGATACCGTTTCTTATGCAAGGACGTTAGCCAATCATAACAGTGGCCAATTACTGACAAGCCTCAAAAGACACGCCCCTTAAAACAGGTCATTTTAGACAGAGGGTCAGAATGAGGGTTGAAAATAATCCTTTTTGCACATATGTATTTGTTGTTCCTTTTTTGGTGAAAAAAACTTTATTAACATTATAAGTAAACCTCAAGGCACATATTAAAATAATTTTAAAAATCCATGTCTTTAATCAAACTGTTTCTGGTTAAGAAAAATGATCAATGAAAATCCAGTTGACAAAGACATATTTCATTTATAGAAACATGTATCATTAATGAAAACATCTGTGGCATTGAAACCGTTGCTTCTTAATAGCACGACAGAATAAGAAATATGGGAAAACTGATGAGGAAAGTGACCAGAGCACAGGCGAAAAAGGAGGCCAACTGCTTTAATAATTGAACTCTTCATTAACAAAGCAATTATATTTTTCTTTCAGGCCAATTTGGAAGTGATCTGACATTATTGGCACTGAAATAGCGGTTCTCTTACCGGGTGGGAGTCTGTGGAGTTGGGATCGGCTCCAGGAATTGTCAGATGGAGACTCTGGAGATAATATGTGGTTTGCATCTGCAAGCGAAGACAACAGCACACATAAACATGCAGGCTGCACTCACTGCACTGGTACCAGCCTACTATGATCCATTTACCACTTGTAGAGACACTGTTGCAGAATATTGCTATTGATTAAAACTTGAAATAGGGCAGAGGTAGAAAATAACAAGAGGCAATATTTCAGCCAGTAAAAGCAGTTTGGTGCTTTGTGAGAACATTCTGCAATATCTATTCATGCAGAAAGTCATTAGGCATTTTTTTTTATAAAAGTTAGAGATGTCCTTTACTCTGACCTTAATTTAAGGCCCCGAGGACTAACAATGTCGGATAACCTTTCTAACAGTTGGCAAGCATCTCAGCAGAAAAAATATATGGGATGACAAGGCCTCAAAAGATGACCTTTCGCCATAATTGGAGGAAGAGAATCTTGTTTTCACGTGAGATGGACTACGAAACAATGATCCTTATCCCGACAGTCCCACAGCAATTTAACTTTACTACTAAAGCTGCATTTACTGCAGGAAATTACTCAATGCACCTTTAGAGAGAAGAATTTTACAGCATAAATATAAGGATTTTTTTACGTCACCACTGGTCAAGATCTGGAAAACAATTAGGGTGACCAGACATCCTGATAAAATTGGGACAAAATTGTGTCGATTTTATGAGTCACTGGTCCTGTTAGTCTTAGCTATAGTTTAATTGCTATGAATAAACTGTGATTTGTGCTCTTTCTATCATAACAAACCAGCAGCATATGTAGTTATTTGACTCATTAATACAACAGTAAGCAGTAAACAAAATGCATCTGTTGTTTTCGCCTTAGAATATTGAGCAGTAAGTTAAAAACATTCACATATGCATAATCGTGAAAATGGTGGAACAAGGAAATTACTTACTTTCAGCAAGTAATTTAATACAACAGCTCATAAAAAACAAACCTACTGTACTCAACTTTGGAAATCTGACAAACCATTTTCATTTCCAGTTATCTTTAAACATTAGAAGGAGATTCTTGCTAACCTTTTCTTGGCATTATTTTAATACACGAGTTAAAGGTTAAGTTTGATTCCTGTAATGTGTCCAAATATTAGATGCACTTTCATACAAACAGTTTCTTTATTCTCTTAATAAACTGTTATGAATTAAAAAATGTATTTGAACACTTTAATGTCCATTAGATCAGACAAGCATTTTACGATAATCTCAGTGTGTTCTGTGGGGGGGGGTCAATTTTCAGACCTTGAAAATATTTAAACATGGAAATGTTGACAAACTGTATTTAAACATCTTCAAAACACGTTACGAGTGGTTTGACACACAACCTGTTTTTCTGTGGTAAGGTGACATAAATTCAGCGGTTACGGGCCCCACGCCGGCTGTTAAAAAGGAACACTGCTTTAGTAGTAGAGATGCCCCATTCTTTATTGCTTGTCCTTTTTTGCATTACCTTGAGCAAGGCACATATAAAGTTCTTCAAGGAAGCACCTGTCTGCTCAAGGGCTTTAAACCCACCCGTCCCATAAATGTTCCAAATGGCACAAACCTTAATATGTCAGAGACAAAATCTCTGCTTATAAACATCCATCACTTGTATTTGACATGCCAACGACACCGTTCATCAGCACCATGCCTCTCCTTCTGTATGAGACACCTTGAGACTTCAAGCTAATAAAATACCTATGCAATTTCCTATTTATCCTGTGTCACAACTACAGTAAATTAAGGTTAAAAAATGCATTGTTGGTACATTTCCCTATTTTTAAGGACCTATAACTGACACAACAGATCTGACAGACGTAGTACTTGACACACTCACTCATAAAAGCCTTACCTGGAAATAGACAGTCCAGTACGGAATGAGTGCCAAGAAAACAGGAAGTATTTTAACCAGCGCTTTCACTTCCTCCACCTTCTCCTCTGAAAATCGCCCACCGTACGTCACCTTTGCGCCATCCAGTAGAGATGGCTTTGGCCTTGTGGGGGAAACAAGGATTTTAACAAGCATTCATTAAAACATCACTGAGATATATAGTATATCTGTGTTTGAGAAAGAAAGTAAAAAAGATAACGAAAGAAAGGAGCACGGATTTGGCCAACTTAAAAAATAATAACGTCACGTTTTTTCATGAAGCGCCTGTTCTTTGATTTAGAGAGAGGGCACGGCACTTGACTTGACAGTAACTAATGCCGCAGAGACACGATGAATAGTACCGCAACATACGAGACAGACAAGAGAGGTGGATCAAAGAGGAAGATGAAGGATAACATTACAGACTAATAGAGTCATCTGAATCTGGAGTGGAGGTTCCCACGAAAGAACCGCATAAATTTACAATCTAACACACTAAAACCATTTAACACAGTAGAGTGTAAAGACTAATAGGCACATTTATTTTTAAGTTTAAGAATAAATATTTATAATCTTTACATATTTTATACTTTCTGAATATGAACAACTGAAACATACAGTACATCTTAGTTCAACAAGAAATTATGTTCATATGTAGATGAAGCTTAATTTGCAACTAATGTGCATCCTTTTTACTCTTCTTTTTGCTGCACTTATATTAAAACGCATCTTTTCATTATTAGGAAGTGAAAAAGTAAACCAATACTCCAACTGGGCCTCATTTATCAATCTAACATAGAAACGAGCGCAGATCCGAGCACACAAACTTACGACAGGGTTCACTTGTGATTCGTGAAACATTCATAGTCCACCAATCTTATCATACGAACGAATTGTACACTGATAAATTTGGCAGCTGAAAACAATCGTCAATTGAATATCACGCCACTAAAAAGTCATGGTTTAGAAGCCTTGCCCCTAGAGTTTACGGTATGAAGAAATGTAACCTGACCAAAAAGAGGAAGTAATCTCATGCAAGAGAAATTGATCTTACTCCAAAAACACCTGTTAACCTTGTAATTGCAAACAATTACATTAATTTATATGTGTATTAATTAGCGGTAAATATAATGAAACAATTACAATGAAACAATTCAGAACAGAACAAGAATGAAAAATAAGTAGCTATAACGATGCAACGATTTGTGAATCCTCATGGTCTATTGTTTATGCTGCTATTTGCACATATAAAGCTAAAGCCCTAAAAAAAAAATTACATTCCAAGTGCTGCATAAAGACAACCGCACGGCCAATTTTCTGTGGAACATTTGTTTTGTAAAAGAGGGCCAATAAAACCAAGAGTGTGTATTAAGAAAATAAACAAGGTCAAAGTTAATTTCATGTGGACTTCTTTATTCAGTAAAGTAAATGTGGCCCTCACCTGAGCAGACTTGGTTCTTTTGGCCCGCGTCCACAGAGGGCCGAGGCCAGGATCCGGAACAAGTCGCTGAAGGCACTGCCGTCTGCAGGTTTGGTTATAAATACCATTTTGCCCAGAACAAAGATGATGAGGGACACCCCGAGGCAGACGGCTGGGATGATGTAGCCAATAAAGAAGCTAACGTTCTGCTGAATATAGGCTACTCCACCCAGCGAGAAGATCGCACCA